GGGACAGCGAAGGCCGCTCGGGCTTTTGGGGCGAGATGGCAGCAGAGAGGCTTGGATGGACGGCTCTCCCAGGCTACCGCACGCCCAAGAGCCCAAAAGCCCTCTCCTCTCCACTCTCTGAGCCCCAGGGCTCCCAGCTAGAGCTGCGTGCCCAGTGCAGGTGTGGCCATGAGCCTTTCCTTCCCGGAAAAATCAGCGTTTTGGGTTTATCAGCACGAGATCCCATGGGCTGGACTGGCCACCCCTTCAGGAGTACCAGGAAGGGCTCGCTATCCGGGACTGTGGGCAGTGACACATCGCCACGGTGCGGCACTGCCGCTTGCCATGGGCTGTGGAAGAAGGGAGCAGTTTTACCCCCCGTTATGGCCTTCCTGAGTTGAGAACAAGTCCGGGCACATGGACTAACCTCCAAGCCCTGGCTCTGGAGGGCACTGTCTGGGGAACATTGGTTATGGCTACAGATGAAAGACCTCGGCAAGACCAGAAGAGCCAGCCTGCCCCTCGGAAACCTAAACCAAGAGAGGGGGACTGACCGCAGGCAGAGAAGACTCACCAAAGTCCATGAATTTGACGTGTTCCTGCTGGGGCTTCTTCACCAGGATGGTCTTCTTCTTCGAAGCTTTGATCTGCTTCAGCAGGGCCTCTTGGACATCAGCTGCCGTGTAGGAAGTGGCTGATGGTAGCCAGGAGGAGAAAGGAGAAAGGCAAGAGTGAAGATGCAGGCCCACCTAGCAGGTTCCCTCTCATCACCTCCCCACGATGCGTTCGAATCATTCCTTTCCCCAGGAAAATGCTTCCAGCCTTCCAGGCACCAGCTTAGGGTGCACCTCCTTCCCAGCTCTTCTCACAGCATCTGTCGATTTTGCTGGACAGAAGACATAGCCCCGGCAAATTTTAATATGTTTTTTTTCACCCTCCTTGCCACACGCACGTTTCTCAGGCCGGGAGTGCCTGCTCCCTCCTCGGGCAGATGGCGATGCCACAGTGGCTCAGCACCGGGAAGGCTCTTACCTGGGTCAAAGTGGGACTCCACAATGACACGGACGGCGCTGCTCTGCCCCAGGTCTCGGACACGGATGCTTTTGAAATCCTTCTTAACGTCAGAATTGCGGAAAAGCTCATCCAGCTAATTGGAGGTGAAGGAGAAAAGATAAACAAATTGATTAATGGGGAGATCCCAGGACATCGGTCCTTTCAGTAAAAGATCCCGAGTCTCAGCGAGTCTCCTTGGTTTCAAGCCACAGGGGTTTGCATCCAACCCACTGACACATGCAGAGAACGGGGCTCCCTTGTGTAGGGTGGTAATTTCAGAGGATCCCTATTCTTTATGGCCAGAAATAGCGGGGGGAAAGTGAGCTATCCCCGTCGTGAAGAAGAGCAGAACAGAGCCGCGCCAGAGCCACCGTGCAGTTCATACAGGGATTTTCTATCGTGTGACATCTAAGTCTTACTGATCTCTTCTAAAGCTGTGTAAACCTGCTTAGGCACTTTGCAAAATCCCATAAGGCACCCCTTTGCATCTTTAAGTACCTGACTGTCTTTTAAAACCTGACAGTCCAAGGCTTACAACAAGTCAGGGCTTTAACACCCCTGCTAGCTATCTGTCCAGCCTCCCGGGGGACCGGCAGTCATCACAGCGAGAGGCCACCGCTTCCTTCCCTCGGCTTCAAGGCAAAGAGAGAAGAGAGTAATTAACTAATGGTCCAATGGTATAGTCTCCCCCTGTAAATCCAGCCATAGGGTTCTCGGAGGGGTACAGGACCGGGTCACCTCCATGGGCATTTTTGCAGGTAGGTTGCCCAGGGACAGCGGGTCTGTGGAAGGAACTCTCAGCCCAGTCACAGCCGGACGCTGAGACAGAGGGCTTGTGCCATGCCTTCATTCCCCCCAGCCTGGGAGAGCAGAAACCAGCCAAATATCCTGCCTTCTTGGGGGGGGTGAGAACGGATGCGGCAGTGAATGAAGCTTTTGTGGGCATGTTTGCATCCTCAGATAGAAGCCGGTGTTGTATTGGGAAATATTGCTATTGTGCTACAGAGCTGCATGAACCATATGGTCCATATGCCAGGCACACATCTGCTGATACGACTGTACGGAGGGTTTGCCAACTTCTAAGTGCAGCTTGGAACCAGCTCTGACTCCGTTAAGCTCCTTGCAAAGATGCTTTGTATTTGCTGTGCCACACTGCAGGCTACGCTCTAAAGTTGTTACCTCACCCAGCGCTTCCTTGGCGTACCTGTACGTACGTACGCATCGCCACGCACAGTCCACCCACCTCCGAGAGCTGGCAACGCAGCGGGGTTCTCCTCAAAGGTGGGAGACTGGATTTACACAAGCAGCTTCTCGAACTGTGTAGCTGAACTGGAGGGGCAAAGGGGTTTTGGATGTGTTTTTGTCTAAGGGCTTTTCACGGACAGAAGGACACTTTGGGAAATCCAGGGCGTTGAGGCAGAACCCCTCATCTAAACAGCCCCATCACAAAGAACAAGCTAAAAAAGGATAATTTTTGACCCAGCACGTAACAAAGGATGGAACCCATTCGCACAGCACGTGGTAGAGGCTAATAACGCCCGTAGATTAAAACCAGACCAGACAAATTCACAGAGGGTACCTCTGAGACAGAACTGGTGCATCATCTCCTTACACTTAAGGGCATTAGTCCTGGCGATAAGCCCTGTTCACTCCCAACTTCTGTGGGTTAAGCCCATTTCCAAAAAAAAAGAAAAAAAAAACAAAAAAAAACAATATAGAGCAATGCCCCTCCAAAGCGCTCAACACATTTTACAAATAGCTCTCAAATTTGACAGCAGCGACAAGGCACGGCCTCCCCAGAAGCCATCGCGAATAAGAAGGCAAAGCAGGAGGAGACCTGGAGTGGTTCCCATGGTCGGGACAGTAGAGCGTCGGCGGTTACCGAGGGTGGTGTCGGCACAGGGTACCGTAACACACACCCGGGGAGCGGCGCTCAGAAAGCAGACAGCGCTCGCTCGCTGCTTCGGGGGGGTGGTGGAACGAAGCGCAGCAGGCGGGCAACCTTCCCGCAGAGCGCTGGCGCTTTTAGAGGCCAAGCGGAGGCAAGCGGGCGAGCGTGGCACGGGCTGGCCCCCCGTAGGAAGCCAACCGCTTGAACCTACAAGCGTGCTTGTTAGCAGCAGCTGGGAGACCGCCGGCTCGCTTGAGAAGGGGAGGATTGTGTTTCTGGAAGTGAACATTCGGGGTTTAGTCATCCATCCACCACAGTGGGCAGGGTCCTCTCTTGTTTTGCCTTTCAGAAAAGCCCTGGCCAGACCCTAAACCTTAAGGGCTACAAAGATGATGAGGGGATTGGAGCATCTTTCTGATGAGGAAAGGCTGAGGGACTTGGGGCGTTTTAGTCTGGAGAAAAGACGACTGAGGGGGGATCTTCTCAATGCTGATAAATCCTTCAAGGGAGGTGCCAGGGGGATGGGAACAGTCTGTTTCCAGTGGTGCCCAGTGATGGAACAAGAGGTATTGGGCACAAACTTGAGCATGGGCAGTTCCATCTCCACCTGAGGAGGGCCTTCTCTGCTGTGAGGGCGGCAGAGCAGTGGCACAGGCTGCCCAGAGAGGTGGGGGAGTCTCCCCCTCTGGAGCCATCCCAAACCCGCCTGGACGCCGTCCTGTGCCACTGCTGGAGGTGCCCCTGCTCTGGCGGGGGGTGGGATGGGGGAGCTCCAGAGGGCCCTTCCAGCCCCCACCAGTCTGGGATTCTGTAAACCAAGTGCAAAGGACTCACCGCGCTCTCAATGCTCCTGGCCGTCTCCCCAAAGAGCTCTGACTTGGGGTCAGCCATCTCAGGTGTGTAGAACAGCTCCTGGCCTTCCACCTCCTCCAAGATGAGGACTCCTTGGAAGACTTTGGTAGCTATGGGAGGGAGGGTAAACAAGACAAACGCCTTTAGTCGGCTTGCGGGCAAGGGCCAGGCGTGTGGCTGAGAGCCGCAAGGAGCGTTCGAGTCCCTGGGGGGGAAAGGGTGATGGCAGTGTGCGGGTAGTGCCAGTGTTGGGGTTAGTCTGGATGGGTCTGGGAGAGCGCCATGGAGGATTAGTATCAGAGGGTGCTGGAGCAGATGGCAAAGACCAGGCTGGAGATGGCAGCTTTTACCATACGGTTTCCTCTGAGCTCCGGCCCGGATAGCAGCCCCCCTGCACCGGCTGAGTAACAAGAGAAAGACGTTAGCCAGAGCAGCACACAGTCAATACGGCAGGATCAGACACGTGCATGCACACAGGGGACAGAGGAGGGCCAAAAGGGGACTCTGGGCAAGGAGAAGACCCGTGCTGGGAGAGGGAAGTAGAGACCCTGCCAGCTACCGGGCTGTGGCCAGCCTTGCAGAACCAGACCGAAACTGCAACGGGAACCCCAAGCGTGGTTCCCTTCCAGCGGAGCTGTGGGAGCGCAGAGGCAGTCAGAGAAAGATCCCCGCTGAGGGTAACCACACGGGAGGATCCCAGCAGCTGTCCTTTCTTGGGTTAAAAGGGGAACACAATGTCCAGAGGAAAAGGGGACGACCTGCTGGAAACCCCAAGGAACAGGGAGAGTTAAGAAAGACCTCAGTGAGCAGCGAGGAAACATTTGGATGCCCCAGAGCAACAATTTTAGGGTAATGTGGATATATGTACAGGGCAACCAATACTCTGACCGAGGGAAGGTCACTCTGCGTTTCCTCAACACGGACAGTGTGAAAGGGACTGTAAGTAGGCAAGAGAGATCCCGCCTAAGTCACAAAAGCAACGCGCACCCCCGGGAACCACTGCGCGAGTCAGGAAGCTCAGACTCCCCAAGAAGCCCAACAGGGACACCGGGGCTACAGCTGCTCTCCCAGCCTGCCCTGGCACCAAACCGGTCCTGATCCAGCCATCGACACAGATAAAATGGAAATCCAAGCAATTCCCTCATCCCCTCTACTGCCAGTCACGAGCTCTGCAGAAGCCTGGGCAAAACACCGGTCACAGTTTTAAGGCTGTAGCAGTCAAGAAAGTGGTCACCTTAGTGAAGAAAACTGCAGGGTTCCCTGGCTCCCCATGTCCACAGCAGCACCCACCCAAGCACCGGCGCTGGCTGCTGGGGGAGGTGGGTACAACGTCTGCCAGCTACCATGGCTCAACACGTCCCCATGAACATCCCCTCAGGGACACGCCAGCCCCCGAGACCGGACACAGGAACGATGCTCACTGCCAGCCGGGCAAGCAGAGCACCATGCTGCTCGCCCCGACGGGCAGTTCTCCGCAGCATCTCTCCCTCTCCTGCACCCTCCGAGAGCTCAGCCTGACTCCTGACCGCCGAAAGGGAGCCCAGAGCCCAGCCCCGAGGACAAACTTACCCGGACAGTTGCTGCCTTCCGCGTCGGCGGCTGCAGTCTTGCCATCAGAGCAGCATCCCAGCGGGGTGTTGTAACACGTCGCCCTCTCGATGGCTGGGGTGGAGGTTACCTGGTTTTCCTCCACCTCCTCTTCCCCTGCAGGGCATTAAGAGGAGCATTCACCAGCAGGGGGTAAGACCTCACCTCTGTGCCAGAGAATCAGGCCGAGACACAGCTTGATTTCATAGCGAGAGATGGGGTTATGGCTCATCCCACAACCGACCTGCCAAGCCTAAGAAGCTCACACTCACCGGCAGAGCCTGCACCACTAGATTCCTGGTCTCCACTGATGCCCATCTCTTGGTCTCCACTGCCTTCTGCGCTGCCTGATTCAACGTAGGGAGGCTGGGTGGTGGCCAGGACCACCGGTGCGGTGGAGAGAGGGCGGACGGTGGTCTTATACACCCCATGGGTCATCCATGCTTGCCAAGCCTAAGAAGCTCACACTCACCGGCAGAGCCTGCACCACTAGATTCCTGGTCTCCACTGATGCCCATCTCTTGGTCTCCACTGCCTTCTGCGCTGCCTGACTCAACGTAGGGAGGCTGGGTGGTGGCCAGGACCACCGGTGCGGTGGAGAGAGGGCGGACGGTGGTCTTATACACCCCATGGGTCATCCACGGTGTAGTGGCTGGTCTGGCAGTCGTGATGCGCCTTGTTGTAGGGTGACCTCTTTCAGTAGGTCTGGCTTCCGACAGCAGGGAGCTGGTAGCCAACCCGGTGGGTTCTGGAGCCCGGGTGGTGAGCCGCAGTGGCGGAGGAAGGATTAATTTGTCCACGGGCAGTGTGGGCAGCGGTGTGGGTGGTGAGGTGTGGCTTGTGTGAGTGATGGACTCTGAAAGGAGAAGCAAGACAGGGTAGGTAAGGAGGGGCAGGTCTGGGAAAAGCTGGCCGACTGGGAACCCAGCTTGTCCTTGTTGCCCTTGCCGCCAGGAAGGTCAACAGCATCCTGGGGCGCATCAAGAGCAGCGTGGCCAGCAGGGCGAGGGAGGTCATTCCTCCCCTCTGCTCTGCACTGGTAAGTCTACAATTGGAATACTGTGTCCAGTTCTGCACTCCCCAGTTCAAGAGGGACAGGGAACTACTGGGGAGAGTCGAGCGTAGGGCAACTAAGATGACTGAAGGACTGGAGCATCATTTTTACAAGGAAAGGCTGAGAGCACTGGGACTCTTTAGCCTGGAGAAGAGAAGGCTGAGGGGAGACCTTATTATGGCACACAAGTATCTAAAGGGTGGGTTGAAGGAGGATGGAGCCAGACTCTTCTCGGTGGTTCCCAGTGACAGGACGAGGGGCAATGGGCACAAGTTGGAACAGAGGAAGTTCCGTTCAAATACAAGGAAAAAACTTCTTTACGGTTGGGGTGGCAGAGCAGTGGCACAGGCTGCCCAGGGAGGTGGAGGACTCCCCTTCTCCGGAGATTTTCAAGACCCGCCTGGATGCAGTCCTGAGTAACGTGCTCCGGGCAATCCTGCTTTAGCAGGGGAGTGGGACTGGGTGATCTCTAGAGGTCCCTTCACACTCTGACAATTCTGTCATTCCGTGAAACCCTCAGGCACCTGCCCTGGGCAGTGCATCTGCTGTGCCGCGAAGAGTCACAGCACGGTGAGGAACCGCAGAGAGAGTCTGCTGCCCCAGCACCGGGAGCAGCAGACACTCACCGTGACACTGCCCCACATGCTTCACTGTGATGACTTGTCCCTGCCGGCAGGCGATGGTCTTCAGCTGGCACTGGTCCCCGTAAGTGACACCATCAGAGCCACAGACCTGAGAGGCAGAGGGAAAATGTGAGCTGCACCTCTGTCCTCCCCCAAGCCCTGGGCAAAACAAACCGGTCTCTAAATGCTGGAAACAGAGGCTTTGCAGGGGTCCCTCTGAGGCAAAGCGGTGACGGTTTGAGGGACCCGAGGGTGGGCTGTGGAAGCCCAGGAGAGCAGCTCAGAGGTGCCAGATGGGGCACAGAGCACCTGGTTGCGCTTGGAGACATCTATGACTTGCACGTCACCCTTCCCCACACACCGAAGACAGTGACCGAACTTGCCAGTCCGCTTCTTCTTGGTGGGGGGCAAGAGACATCAGACTCCTGCGCTGCCTGCGCCAGCCCGGCGCAGCTGAGCTAGCCACGAGCCCCCACGCACGCCGCTCAGCCCCCATGGCTGCCTCTCCCCACAAACCTTGGTCATGTTGGCCTCCGAGCAGAGCGGGGATGGGCACTCGCAGTGAGCAAAGCCGTTGACTTCCACGCACGAGGCCCCAAACTCACACCTCATTTCCTCGCAGGATTTTGGGGCTGACGGGTCTGAGGTAGGGAGAGAAGAGGGGAAGAGATGACCAACAAAGCACATACCAATCATACAGCAACGGGCTACGCCGAATCAAAACCCCTCTCTCCTCCCAGTGGGTTTTAGCTCTCCCAGAGCAGTTCAGACCAGTGGACGAGACACTTTCACCAAGCAAAGGAACAGTGCCCTGTGCCACGCACGGGTGCCCAGGTACCAGGAACCAAGCAGG